GGCCCGCTCGAGCAAATCGATGATCAACGGGAGGGCCTTTACTTTACTTTAAACAGAATAAGGTTTACACATAAAGAATTGTGAGTGGTCCGGTTTAACAATTTACTATTGACATAGTCTATAGCTTGGGGATAGTGCAACAATGAGTTATTTAGTAATAAATCCAAGATGTGAATCAAGCACATTTCTCTCACACTAGGTCTTGAGTAGCCAAAAGAATTGAGACTGACCAAACTTTGTGTACACAGACATTGAGGCCCAATACTACTGTAACTAATTTTAATGCAAGCCCAGAGAATGCAAAATTATCTCCAGAGAAGCTGCAGTAGAAAAAAAAGTTTGTGATAAGAACAATATGGGTAGCACTTGTATAACTTGTCATCCCGTTGATCATCGATTTGCTCGAGTGGGCACCACTAACGTCTCCATTCGTCCCTGTCATGTAGTAGTGTAGCCCAATGGCATCTGCTCGCTCCAGGAACACAAAGAGCCTCAAACCGTTTGTTCAGGGTTTTGACGAAGAAATCTGACCATCTCGTCGGTGGGAGACCACACGTTCTTTTGATGTCCCGTGGAATCTAGTCCCTAACAGCTCTAGTCCAGCGGTCATCTCTAAATCACAATACGTATCTGGTCCATCTGATTTTTAACACCTTGGCAAACGAAGCAGCATTCCTGATCTTTGGTTGTTGATGGAGGTTGGAACTCCAGATTCCTTCTCTCACTTGAGTGAAGCTTGATACTCCAAACATAACTCTTTTGATTCCTCTTTGGGATACACAAATAGCATTCTCATCCTGTTTTCACAGGGCCCAGGTCTCTGAGGCATATTTTAGTGCAGGGAGAACAGTAAAGTCGAAAAGATATGCCTAGAGCCAGAGGTTCTACATTCTCTTAACAACTTCTTTGACGCTCTTGAAGGCGCTCTGTGTTGCTGTCTTCCTTCTGCACAGTTCTGGTGACAAGTCGTTCCTAATGTTGAGTTCTCAACCCAGGTGCACATAGCTGCTGCATTCAGAGATGTTCATTCCACTGAGAGTAAATGGAACATCCGGGACTAGTTCATTTTTCACGAACATTGTCTTGGTGAGATTCAGCTGCAGTCTGACCTTTCCACACTCACGGTCAAGGTCGGCCAGCATTTGTGCCACTTCAATAATGTTTGGTGTTATTAAAACGATGTCATCAGCGAAGTGGAGGTGGTATAGTTGTCGACTGTCGAAGCAATAAAGAAAGACCTCAAAGAGAGAAGAGTAGCAGTGTTGGCCGATGCAGCAGAAGCCAGGAAAAGTATTCACAATGCTCACATGTCTTTCACCAACTACAAGATGACTGCCCTCCGATGTCCTGATGAATCTATCACATCTTCCAGACGTGCAATGGAGATGATTATCCACGACTTCTACTCAGATCTCGTCAACAGACATGTCCACCTGCCCACATACCAAATTCTGCAGGATGTTGTTCTCAATGTTCTCCCTTCTGAAATCCGACAAACTATTTCATCTGTAAAGCAGCAAACAGCACTTGGTCCAGACAAGGTCAGACCTGAACCACTGAAGAATCTGCCACCAGTACTCATCAGTACACTGGCTCAGCTCTTCACATGATACTTGTCTGAATGCAAGGTTCCATCCCAATGGAAAACCAGCAGGACTATTCTATTGTACAAGAAGGGAAATACCCATGACATTTGCTACTATTGCCCAATCTGCCTGTTGTCCATTGTCTATAAGTTGTTCACTTGAGTCATCCTGAATAGAATAGGCAGAACACTAGATGAAGGACAACCATGTGAGCAAGCCAGGTTCCAAAAAGAATTCATCATGATTGACCATATCCACAGGGTGACAAGCTCATTGAGGTTTTGTGAGAGTTCAAGATGCCACTCTGCCTAACGTTTATCGATTTAAAAAAGGCCTTTGATTCTGTTGAGACTGAAGCGGTCATCGAAGCCCTAGGCAAATAGGGCATTCAAACTCAGTGCATCAGGATCCTTTGCGAGCTGTATTACACATTTACCACCAAGAACACTATGGGTATAACTCAAAAAGCTAGAGATTGAGCTTCCATCTGCCCCAGTCATACTACTTCTGAGAATAAATCCCAGGGCCCCAAAAATACATAGCAGAAATGTCATCTGCACTTCCATATTTATTGCAGCACTATTAACAATAGACAGAATCTGGAAACAACCTGAGTGCCCAAGAACAGTCAACTGGTTAAAGGAACTATAATATACCTTCATAAGGGAATACTATGCAGCTGTAATAAAAAATGAAGTCATGAAATTTCCTTATAAATGGATGGACATGGAGAGTATTATGATACTGAATGAAATGAGTCAGAAGGTAATGGACAGACATAAAATTACTGAACTGCACTATGGTAACATAGTATGAGACTAACACCAAGGAGAGTAGAAATAAGGGCCAGGAGGATTGGTCCATATTTGGAAGCCTGCTTCAAGAGCCATGGGAGATGGTAATTAGAACAGAGACAGGACCATAAGAACAAAGGTAGTTGGAAATGATCTCTCTGGATAAGAACTGCATGCTGAAGTTAAGGAAAGGAATAAACACAATAACCTCTCCACTTCTATATTGCAAACCATAATGCCAAAAAGGAGAGAGAGAGAGAGAGAGAGAGAGAGAGAGAGAGAGAGAGAGAGAGAAGGAAAGTGCTTGCCTTAGAGACAGGCTAGGGGGAGGGTGACAGGAGGGAAATTGGGGACATTGGTGGTGGTAAAATTTACACTTGTGGAGGGAAGGGTGTTGGGACATTGTATGACTGAAACCCAATCAAAAACAGCCTTGTAACTGTGTATGGTAATTCAATTTAAAAAAGACCAACATTGTAATTATTTATCTTGTGGTGATTCAATTTAAAAAAAAGAAATGAAAAGGAAAAACAGCTGGAACACAAAAAATTCAAAGCTCTAACCCTTGACAGCATTCTAACAATGGATTTTTATCTACATGGAAATCCCAGGGGAGTTTAGAAGAACAACTATAAAACTAACTTTATAGAGGATGTGGAATTCTTCAGAAGATGTTTGGAGCAAAGCTAGAAAGCTAACTTGATAGAGGATATGAAATTCCCCAGAACAGTTTGGGAGAAAACTTATAAAACTAACTTTGTAGAGGTAAAGTTCTGGGTGTAGTTTATGGGGGTATCTCAACATGAGTTGGTATTTCCTTCTGAGCTCTCTCTTCTGGAGAATTCCCTGTTCTCTCTTCAGTGAATCTATCTCTCTCTGTCTCTCTGTCTCTCTGTCTCTGTCTCTGTCTCTGTCTCTCTCTGTCTCTCTGTCTCTCTCTCTCTCTCTCTCTCCCCTTCTTCATAATATTCTAAATAAAACTTTTTACTTTACTGCTTACGTCCTTTAAAAATTATTTTCTGTGGAGGAAGGCATTGTTCCTAGAAAGCCTTGGCAGAAATTAGAACCAATTTGCTTTTCTTGCAGAGAGGAATTTGTTTGGTCTTGTCTGAGTTCCATGGTATGGATCATTTTCCAAAATGCCAGGTCCTCTTCTAAGATATACTTCAGTAGGAATAAAAGGTTATTATTAAAAACAGATGGACTACCAAAAATTCAAAGATCTTCTCCTTGACAGCATTCTGTGGACTTCAGAATGGTAGGACCTGGATGCAGTTTGTTAACTGTCTTGTGGAACCGGTGAGACTTAAGTATTGTACTGTGCAGTGACTCAATGTACTTTCATCAGTCCTAAATTTTCCTGGCCACCTGTCTGGATCACCTCAGTGGGTGGACACAAATGTGCTAGTCCCCCCTCTTGAGTCTGCCATCTCTCTTCTTCCCACTTCTCATAAATCACTACAACATTATTATGATTGAACAAAATCTGTATTCAGTATAATTGAATTAAATGTGGGAAAAATGGAATATAAATTTAGAATAATCTAAACAAGCATCAGTAGGTATACTGTCCTAGGATTATTTTTGATGTGCATTAGCTCTTCTCTTTTAAGGAATTCTAATTCAAAATATAATTATCATTTTTTGTGTGTGTGTAAGACCCTGTGTCTTATACCCAGCACCCAAAACAAACAAAAACCTGTTCCTTAGAGGTAGGGCACATGGCATGTGGCATGTAACTCAGTTGCAAAACACATGCCTTGGGGTTTGATCATAGAGGAAGGAGAGACAGACAGACAGACAGACAGACAGACAGATAGAGAGACAGAGATGGAGACAAAGAGAGCACTTATTTAAATTTTTGAATATTAAAAAATATTTTTTTATAAATAAGAAATTGAGGAGCTCAAACAATAGCCCCACGGGTAGGGTGTTTTGCCTTGTATGCGGCCGACCAAGCTGACCATGATTCAATTCCTCTGCCCCTCTCGGAGAGCCCAGCAAGCTACCAAAAGTATCCCGCCTGCACCACAAGGCCTGGCAAGCTCCCCGTGAAGTATTCAATATACTAAACACAGTAACAACAAGTCTCAGTGGAGACATTACTGGGACCGCTGGAGCAAACTGATGAACAATGGGAGGACAGCACTACAGTGCAAGAAATTGAGATGTATCAAAATCATTAACCCTTTTCTTTTGCTACCCTCCTTTGAAGTTCTCTGTTACAGACTAGACTGATAGACTTGCCTTTCAGTTAACAATCGGATCATATCTATGACTATCAGAAATGAAAGAGTGCTTCTTTATGATGGAGTTTTCTGGAAATTGGGGTATATGTGTGACTAATGACAGGAAACTGGTAACACCTTCAAACATTTAATCATGTCAATATTTTCAGAACCTCTTTTATATTTGATAGTACAAACATTTCTCTCTGATGTTTTTCTTCAAATATGGTTTCTGCACATTTTGCTTTTTTCATGTAAATGTGTTACCTCAAGCAACAAGAAATGTATCAAAATTCAAGAGTAGGTATCACTGCTTTCCTGATATATATATAGCCACAATTTTAATTTCATAGCTTAATGATTCAAAGAAATCAAATAATGTTCAGAGATACCTGTGATATCAATGCTGTTCAAATCAATATGGAAAGTGACCAGGTGGCTGGATTTATTTGCTTCAATTCCTTGAATTAGTTCTTCTTTAACATTTTCATCTGACACCCAATGGGCAAAGAAGAGGTCGAATATGACTATAACACTGCCAATTCTGCAAAGCAAATGATGACATAAGATTTAAAAAGTCAGACTTCTTTTTGTTATCTGTGCTCAATTTATGTTACGATGTCTCAAATTCTTCATAGTCATCATCTCATTAATTCTCATTATACCTGTACTAGATATATTATGCCAAACATTATCTCTGTTACACAGGTGGAAGTAAAAGGAATTGTAAGTCTAAATGTTTATCTGAGAACAGAAAGACCCAACATAGTTAACACGATGGAATTTAGATTTTGAGTTCTCTATTAACAAATCAATACCTTGTAAGGCTTTTCTCAAGTCATTTCTGTCAAATTAAACAAAATTAAGCAGCATCATAACATTTAATATTAATTTATAGCTTGAGACAATGAAGAGTGTGAATTTGTAATTTTTCACAGTTATTCCTAAGTAGTAAGAACTCTAAGATGGATTCACTAATTTCAGAGAAAAATGTTCTACATAGTATATGAGTGTCTAATAGCAGGCATATTTATAGAAATAATTTATTTCTAATTGATAGCTATAGAAAAAAGATAGCATGCATAATATGATTAGAAACTCGGGTTGTTCCACTTGATGGTCAAGAACTGGGATTATTTTACCTGTATCATTTTTTTAACCATAGCATCAAAATTTCATTATAGGGCCTAAATCATCTCATTTTTTATTTATACCCTGTTCTGCAACATGCATTTAAAAGTTTTCATTGGTGATTTGCTTGTATTTTTAAAAACATAAAAATTCATAGATCCTTACTTCCAAATACCTTGAGAGATTGTTCTTTCTCTCACTTATATTTTCCACCTATCTCAAACTGTCATTTTATAATAGAAACTACTTGGGAGACGAGAACACCTCTGCTATTCATTCTGTAGTCCGCAGTCAGCTAGTGACAGAGCATATTTGGAACTTTAAGAGAAAGACTAGCTAAAATTCAGTTTTGGATAGAAAAATGTGTTCATCCTCAAATTTAGATAGTTACACATATTAATATCCTTGCAATATCTGTTATTAAGATTCTTTAAGGATGTGATCAACTTCAAAAGAGTACTTTATCTGCCCCTATATCTCTATACCTATCTTAATAAAAGCTCAATTAAATGTTTCCTTTTTTTTTTTTAAATGTTTCCTTTAATGGTTATGCAAAACCACAATGTTCCTGAAATATTGTAGTTGGTCAACATTCTCTACAACTTAAGTTCACAGGTTCATGTAGATAATTCTCTTCTATGTAGCTAGTTTTTAATAAAAAATGCTAATATATCCTATTAGAACATTTTCATACTTTATTTTTATTAAATTATTTTAAAGTGTTAGATAATTAATTATCTAATCATTTACTAAAATTGTTGTAGCCAGTAAAGGCTCCTCAACTAGTTTAGGGACCAAAGAACTAGCAGACAGGACACTTGCCTTGTATGTGATTAACCAAGTTCTCCAGGCATGACATATGATTCCATAAGCACAGAACCAATAGTCATCCCTGAGCACAGCTGGGTGTGCAACTCCCCTACCTCCCAGGCAAGGACAAAATTAACTAGTTCAGGATCACAAAATTCGCCACATAGGGAATCACTTGCTATTTTGGGTCACAATGTATTTTGTCCAAATCCAAATACTGTAATAATAATAATACTGTAATAATAATAACCATGTATAATAATTGTAAATAATAACAACAATGTATCAGACTGGAGTGATAGCACAGTGGTAGGGCATTTGTCTTGCACGCGGCTGACCTGACCGACCCGGGTTCAATTCCTCCGCCCCTCTCTGAGAGCCCCGCAAGCTACTGAGAGTATCTTGCCTGCATGTCAAAGCCTGGCAGGCTACTCATGAAGTATTTGATATACCGGACATAATAACAAGTCTCACAGTGGAGACATTACTGGGCCCGCTCCAGCAAGTTGATAAACAATAGGAAGACAGTGGCAGTGACACTAACAGCAATGATGTTACAATGATGCAAAAGTAATAATATAACAAATATACCTAGGTGCAGGTATATAGACTTTAATTATTTGCATTGTTACCCAAAGCTTTAAAACCCAGTTGAGAAGGAAAACAGCTACCTGTATTTTTTGGAGTGTGGAGGAGGCAGCATATTTTATTCATTCCAAAGAAGTAGAATCTCACTCATCTTTCTTTCCTTTTATCCGTCCCCACTCCCTTTTATCCCCCTCTTCTTTCCTCCTCCTTTATCAGCATTTCTTTCTCCTTATTTTGCTTTTCTTTCTTCCTTGTATTTTTCCTTCTTCTCTTACCCCTCTTCCTCCTTCCTTAACCACTAGGTCCCCAATATTTAAATAGCACTGTACCACTGTCTTCCCGTTGTTCACAGATTTGCTCGACTGGGCCCAGCAACGTCTCCATTGTGAGACTTGTTGTTATTGTGTTTAGCATATAGCATCACGGGCAGTTTGCCAGGTTTTGCTGTGCAGGCGAGATAGTCTCGGTAGCTTGCCAGGCTCTCCAAGAGGAGCGAAGGAATCGAACCCAGATAGGCCGGGTCGGCTGCATGCAAGGCAAAAGCCCTACCTGCTGGGCTATCACTCTAGCCCAAATAATATTTAAATAAACAAGACTAAATATAATTTAAATAAAGTGAGACGGAATAGCATGTGTAAAATTCTCTTTTTTAATGTTGTACATTTTCACTTTGCCCTTGGTTGCACATTAGTTGGACTTCTGACTAAATCTGCATTTTCTCTTTACATAATTTTGGCATGTTTCATATGACTAAACATATGCTTTTATTTAATGTGAGTTGGGAGTAAGAGCACCAGGTATTTTTGATATAAAAATACAAATCTGGAATTTTCCTTCCCTGAGTTGAAAATAACTGAACTAGTTTGTCCTCAGGCATAAAGCATTTTTATGAGATTTTTTTTTAGTTGTGAATTATACATTGCATTTAATAATTTATATGTTGCAAGGACAGGAATGACATACCCTATATTCACTTGCAGTTACAGTCTTTAAAATTTGTTTTCCATGTATATGTTGGGATAAGAGAGATGCATAGTAGAAATCAGAAAAAAAACATAATAAACATTATTTTTCACTTTTAATCAGAAAACTAAAGCTGATATTTGGGGATTTAGAATGATTTCTATAATTTTCCTTAAATTGATTTTTACTATGGAAAATGTGAGTTAGAAGGACCCTGGCCCTTTTTTTTTCAAAGTACTTGTCAATGTTAACAAAAGGATATATTATAAGCAGGTAATGGTATCATGGATGAGGACCAATGTGCAAGAAATGAAAATTTTTCTTATCTTTTACATTGCTTAATAGTATTAGTAACCTTAAAGATTGCTGAGTAAGCCAAAATTTTTCTTTTTCTGATCTCTGCTCAAAGGAAAATATACCCGCCACAATGGGTAAATCATATATCATTTAAAGAGTAGCCTGCTAAATATTCTGTAAAGAAAATCTTCCCAGATGAGAACAGACTATCCTGTAAACCTGCTACACATACATACATACACACACACCACACCCACACACACACGTATGCATGCATGCTCACACACACACTCACACACTCTTATATACACTGGTCAGGGTCAGGACTTGACATAAAATAGTTTTAAGACATTTTTAAGACAGATATTACATAGGTTAATAATTAAAGAGAATATTCTGAATAATAAGTTTTAATCATATACACATGCATATATAGATTACTGTCACTGCAGTTCATAGATTTACTAGAATGGGCACCAGTAAGGTCTCCATTCATCCTAACCCTGAGATTTTAGCAGCCTCTCCTTACTCGTCTTTCCCAACATTGCAGTATTGGAGGTTCTTTTAGGATCAGGGGGATGAGACTCGTTATACATATGTAGATAGTTAATTAAAATTAGTAATAAAATATAAAATAGGTTTGCTAAAATATTTTAGGTATAATTTTAAAAGTTGGTGAAGATTTCAATTAGTTGAGAGTCCATTTTATTAACTGCCATTTAAAATGAAAGTCAGTAGCTCATTTAGGGATTTGTCACTTTTTACTGAAATATATCATTTTGTTTGTGATCATTTAAAGACAACCTGTTTACTTTCATCTTCATTCTTATTTTTGTATTGCTTTTTAAAATTAATTAATTAATTAATTAATTTTTTATTACTGAAACACCATGAGATACAGTTATAGACTTATAAATTTTTGTGCTTGGATTTCAGTTATACTATTCTCATTTCTAAACGTCCTTAAATACCAATATATAATTTACCATTCTAACATTTTCTTGGGATTCTTTTTTTTTTACCTTCTAAGAAGTCACTTCTGATTTAAGTTTTAGTTTAACTACCACTGGCTTAAAGTATATCCACTCTAAAGAAGTTTGCTGTTTTAGCATCATTATAAAGTCTGTGTGAAGGTTTTGGCACTGCCGTGCTCTTCAAAATAGCTATAAAAACGAAGGAGAGATGCAGCAGTTCAAATAACTTGAAGTTTTAAATTCAGTCACTTTAACTTCAAGAAAAATAAAAGATTTGTTATTGAGAATCAGAGAAATTTCTGGAGGTTTTGATAACCCATCAGAATATAAAAGTCTATATTTATGGTTGTAAAAAATACTTCTCTAAGCTCACATGAGAGAGAAATATTTATCACAGAGGGCTGCTACCATCCTGCATGTGAAATAGACTATGTCCACAGTTGTCTCCATTACCAGATAACCATTCTATGAGAAAACAGTAACTGCTGTTTTAGTGCTTCTAGGCATCCCTATGCAATTCACAAAGTCCCTTCCTGGTTTATACTAAGTACTGTAAGGAAGATCTGATGACTGATGTCAATTTCGTTTTTATCTCTAAATTGTACCTAGTGTATAGGGCTTTTGACTAGAGACGGCTGACCCAGGTTCAAACCCCAACACCCTCTATGGTTCCCAGATCAACACCAAAAGTGGATAAGCCCCACCCTACAGAAAGAGAGAAAGAGAGGCAGAGGGAGAGAGGCAGAGGGAGAGAGAGAGAGAGAGAGAGAGAGAGAGAGAGAGAGAGAGAGAGAGAGAGAGAGAGAGAGGCAGAGACACAAAGACAGAGACAGAGAGAAGGAGACAAAGACAGTCAGAGACAGTGATAGAGAAAGAGAGAGACAGAGAGAGATAGAGACAGAAACAGAGAAAGGAGGTAGCATTGCAAATATAAGCAACAGTATTGGAACTGTGGTAAGTCATGTCATAGCAACAACTGCAAGAATATCTATTCTTTTTAGGGGGAGAGAGTGAGATGGGTCACAGTTTAATACTTCTGAGGACTTGTCTCTGGCTCTGTGTTCAGAGATCAGTCTTGGTGATGCTTGAAGAACCATGGGCAGTGTCAAAATTTGAATCTGGGTCGGCTGCAAGCAAAGAAAGCATCTTAATCCCTATGCTATCAGTTTGTTCCCATAGAATTTATATTCTGAAACTAAAACATGTACTTACTCTTTTTTTGTTAGTATATGCAGATGTTGATCTATAATGATGCATATGGAAAATTTTAAAATGTTGCAATGAAATGCTATTTCATACAAATATTTTTAAAAGGCTATATTCATCAAAATTCCCTAGTCTAATCAAAATAATGTTATCCAGAGTGTTTCAAAATTGTAAACCTCACAAACTTGCTATTAGCAAAAGTATTAGATAAACTTTGCACTGGTTACTGTCATTGGGAGGGATTTCTCTCTACAAAGTCTAATTAAATCGAGACAAGTGACTGCAATATTTGCCCAAAAATGCTAAAAACTTTGAGAATTAAATATGAACTAATGTTTTAATGTTTACACTCAATCTCTATCCAACTGGAACAGTTAAGCTTGTTTTGAAACATCAGTCCAAGTAGATGAATAGCTTGGGATAGAAAAATTTCACATGTATGGTTTTACTCTCACAGAATAAATATTGATCAAATATTTAAAAAATAGAACTTTGTGAAGGATTAAAAATCAAACCTTTCCTAGGAGTCTCCAAGTTTTCTAGTCCTGATATTGTGCCAATAAAGGGGGATTTAAGAGAGAACAAGACCCAAGAAACATGAGAAGTCTCTGCATTGTAAATGGGATAAAGATATTACGGCGGTGGACATAAGACAGGGTGGTTATTGGGATCAAAATATTTGATGGAAAAGAGAATTAGCCAGTTTGACATGCAAGGAAATAAGAAATAAAGGTAATAAGTGTAGAATAATAGAAGCAAAATACTGTATTATTTTTATAAGTACTACTCATATAATTCATGGTGTGGAATTATGAATCCAAATGAGGATCTCACACATGCTTATAAGCTCTACCACTTAGTAATATCTCTCGCTCCAAAAGATAAAGGAATTTTAAACTTTTCACTGGGCATAGTGTAGGAAAAGGTGAACCTTTATGCATTTTTGGCATTGTACCATCCATGTATAGAGTTTTTTTTTTCAATAGGATATGACAAGGTCTTAAATTTCCTCCTCATTTGATTTTTGTTTTTCCAAGTGTGATCCCTTTGCCTCAAGTGTGCCTTTCCTAGCTCTATTTGATCACTTAAAACTGAGGATATTTTTTTTTAGTATGCCAGAACTCTTGTGAACATCTCATCCCATGACCATGAATCTTTCTTACTATTTCCTTTGGGTATAATTATTCTTGATCTAAGATAGAAGATCAACCTTTATATTAGCTAGTTTTGTATTTCTCCAGTGGCCTAGAGTTCCTTAGAAGTCTCATTTCATATTAATTGAATAATAAACTCCTGTACATTGCAAGTGCATATTTTCAACCTTAGTTCCCTTATTGTATCTACACAATTTTACACTCAGGATGGAAAAATACGTTAATATAAATCAAGTATCAAGAGTTATGATTTTCTGCTACCAATATAAAGACTTTATGCTATGCCCTTTTTTGAAATTTTCACAAGAAATTTGTTGAAAAGTTTAATTGTTTCCTTTGCTCCTAAAAGTACTATTTTAGAGGCCAGAGAGAGAGAGAGAGAGAGAGAGAGAGAGAGAGAGAGAGAGAGTACAGGAATTAATGTGCTTAATTTGCAGGCAGATGACCCTGATTCTATTCCTGGCTCTCTGAACAAGGAGAGATCCCTGAGCACAGAGTTAAGAACAGCCTCAGAGCCCGGTTAGATGTGGCCCAGCTCCCCTTACTATTTTATACATTTAGAAAAATTTTTTGTGCTTCTGTGAAATCAGTAAAAAAATTTGACTTTTACTCACTCAAATCGTAAAACTCTTGAATTTTTATACTCATTTTGCAGCTTACTTGATTGAAAGATGTCATCTATCTAAAAATGAATAGAAAAAAGTTACAAAAAAGCTAAATAAATTAAGATTTAAACTAGGTTTAAAATATTTAAAAACGTATTTATATTCTGCTAAGAATAAGATAATAGTAATTTTCTTCTCTCTGGTGCTGAGCTCAGTCCTGAGAATATTAGTTATTACATTTTCAAAGTGGGGCTGGAGCGATAGCACAGCGGGTAGGGCGTCTGCCTTGCACGTAGCCAACATGGCCGACCCGAGTTCGAGTCCTCCGCCCCTCTCGAGAGCCCGGCAAGCTACCGAGAGTATTCGATATGCCAGACACAGTAACAACAAAGTCTCCAATGGAGACGTTACTGGGCCCGCTCGAGCAAATTGACGATCAACGGGAGGGCCTTTACTTACTTTACTTACATTTTCAAAGTAAGAAAACAGAATTTGTGTATCTGTCTGCAAGTAAGTAGCGAAATTATGTTCTGATATTTTAATTTAGCTGAAAAGAGACCTTTTCCTACCATTTGCTGAAGATCAAAAGCAAGGACTTTGAAATCCGCGGAGTGTTTGTCTTGCAAATTTGGATTGTATGTAGCTCCAGATATTATTTTAAATGTCCCTCTTGTTTCGTGACTTTTTCCAAACTCGCTATCTAAATCAATTAACAAGAAATAAAACACAAATGTGAAAAATAAGTAAGAAAGACACAGTATAGTTAAAACAGAAATAAAATTCTTGTTTAACTGTGTTTATCCCATATTTTGTTTTCTTCTTTGCAGATACAATGTTTCATAATCAACTGATGTTTTTCTTACAAAGCTGTCTTCTAGTTTTTAAAGATAAAAATACATTTATTCCCCATCTTATTACATGTTTTTCTTGTATTTGAAGTTTAATGCACAATCCAAGTTTCCAAGGAATTTTTGTTATTGAGATTCCTGTTGAAAGATGATCAATTTTGACCAATTATGGGAACTAACTGAGAGAAGCATGGTGAGAAGTGGACCATTAAAAGTTTTGTAGTTGCTAGCATCCAAGTCCACTGCTGGGTTTCTATGTGTGGATTGCTGTGAAGATTTCAGTATTGTATAACTTTGAAACACAGCTCTGAAGTTGCTTTCATTCTAATAATTATAAAATTGGTTGGTATGACCTTTTGCCTTTAGACAATGTATGTCATTATGGAATATTTATCAAGAATACTGCAGAAAATATATGAAAACCATAGAAACTGCCAGGAAAATGGTCAAATTTAATATAAAGATGGCTAATAAAATATACTGTTAAGTCCAGAAAATCTCTTAATCAAAATATATTATTTGATACATATATATTCATTATGAATCACAAATCACTTCAACTGAAACAGAAACTGATAAAATTGACATTACATATTGTAATAATGATAAGAAACTTTCACACTGACTTTACATAAGAATACATTACTTTGTCTTTTCCAAGGGAAGGAAATTAGAACTTTGTTTCAGATAAAATTTCCCAAAGTCATAACTTTAATAAACAACAGATCTGAAAATTTGATATCAGCTTATTTGATGTTACAACCCCGAATACATCATAGATTGACACTAAACTTTGCAGTCTGTGAATAACATTAGAAATAATATTAATAATGAATCCTATATTTTTTAAACCATTCTCATTGCATAATTATTACAGCATATTTCCCATTTAATTTAATTTTTTAATATCCAAATTGTACATTTAAAGATTAAACTGAAAAAATTTTCATGGGTTGAGCAGAGCTAAAGAAATAAAATAATGGTGATATGTTATTGAACATAAAAACAATAAATCTTGCTTAGATATACGCATAAAATATGAACAAGTAATAGTGGATTAATGGGAAAAGTGGGTGGGACCTTAATAACCTAATTAATTAATAATAAATTAATAAACCAATAAATTAATTACTAATATTGTACAAACCTTTAATCCACAATTGTGATATTTGTGTTATGACCAAATAAAAGATCAGGATGACCAGGACAAAGCTACGTGAAAATTCTACAATTTCTGTAAACTTTTTTTTGTAAGCAGAGGTTCCCAATTTGTTTGACCAACTGTCTTATTTTCAGTAGTAAAATTGTTCCCAAATGCTGAAAGCTACCATCTTTAAGCAAATAAGCAGAAAGTGTCACTGAATCGTACCCAAGGCTATAGCTGGTCTCCCCACCTCTGCTATATTATTCCTACCCCCAGGGACAGCCTAGTTCATTTTAGAAGGATTAGAGATGAGTCAAGGGGTAATAAAAGTAAGCATGTCTTATGTTTTTGGGTGTTCTATTACAGAATTAATTTGAATCATTTTTTTTGGCTTCTGTGGAATATCCCTAGATTTAAAAGGTTAATTTAAAAGATAAAATTGTTAATCCAATAAAAAATACATTATAATCTGACAATAAGAATTTCTTTTTCATTAGCTTTGCTTGTTGGTTGATGTACATTTTTAGTATTTTGACAGGATTGTCACTTAAATTCTATCAGACAAAACCTGTGAGCTATGAAAACTATTTTATCATATGTTAAAATTGAAAAACTTAACATATATTTTTAAAAATGTAGTCTCATGAGACCTGAGAGAATACAGTGTATAAAGCACTTGCCATGTGAATGATCCAGATTCAATCCCCAGCACCCCATAGTTCCTGAGCTTTGCCAGTACTGATCCCTGAACCAGAAGAAAGACTTAAGCAAAGTGAAGTGTGGCCAACCTCCCAAATAGGTGAAAACTTGAAAAAAATTGTGCCATATTTGAATTCTGTATTAAATTTCAAATTGCAAACGAACTCATTTTTCTAGTATATTCTGAAGTGAACTACAGCAAGGCATTTGAATCAACATAAATGCCCGGTCATATAAGCACAGAAATGAATAAAATATCCTGGCAGGATAATTTAGTTTAATGTATATCAATCCATCTGAATAGAAATTATCTGCATTCATCAGTAACCAAATCCTTGTCACTTACCTCTTTCTGAGCTCTTGATTGTCAACCAAGACACTGCAATTAATCCTGCACTGACCACTAGCAGCATGACAAAGAGAGCTGCAAACATGACTTCAGAGGTGCTGAGAGAATGTATGCGTCTTCTGGACACCATTTTAGGATTTTGAAGGTATTATACTGAGAGAACCTTAGAAATCTCCACCAACTTTGGAAAACTCTCTCTAGCTTTCAAAGATTTGCAATGCACTTACATAAATCTGCATCATCTTACTAGGCAGTTCGAATGCTCTGTCAGTCTAATGTCTCTATACACTAAGTAGCTTTAAAAGGACAGTTAATCTTTAAGAAGATATAAATGAGTAAAGAGATGGCTAGAGTTGTAAATGTTAATCATCTGAACAGGCCATCTATCTGGGTAAATGAAAATACATGTTGTAGACAAAAATAAAACTTTATCATTTTAAAAACTATTAGGAAAATATATGAAATTTATAGTAGGCAAATTAGTCATTAGGCACATGAATTGATATTATAAAGCATTTCTAGTCAGTTGAACTTTGACTCTCTGACTCAGGTCATTATTAATGATGTCTACTCTTCTATGTCAATGTAGAAATTCTATAAATAAAGTTTATGTACAAGTATAAATAAAGCCTGATATTATACGTCTCTGTAATACTTCCCTCTCTTCTTTTGTGTATAAGTGTATAATTGAGACAATCACACATTTTGTAATTTCCATTCATTGGAGGTTGAGCAATGTAAGTCAGTATGGATTAAACTTAAAGTCCACTAAAATGGCATCACGTGGCTGTACTTTATGGCCTCATGCAGTTATCAATGAATGGGAGTAACTGCTATGAGAATAATAAAGTATTTGTTTCTATTTTAGGGAAGTAGTCAGGGTGTAAAAGCCATTGCTCACTTGCCTTGAACTTTATCTTTTTAACATACTGATTGTAACAAGTGAACATGTAAAGATAACCTGGTTCATAACAGTAGACTATGCCTCTTATTCTTCTCATAGCAGTTACTCCCATTCATTGAGTCATGGGAAAATCATGACTTTCCTGGTAATCAAAGTACAGTTTATCCACGGAACTTACAAGCTTTGGATAATAATAAGTCTGTAATTACAAAAATAAATACATGTATTAAAATCTGTTGTGTAAATCTAATTTTTGTCTGTTCTGGTAGAAAAGAAATGAACAGAGATAAGTAATTTCTAGATCAGCCACTTAATATGCTGACATGATGGTGCATCATATTTGATTAAAATGAGCATTAGCTATCTTTTCCCTTCTTTATTCTTATAAAGAAAAACTGCTTGCTATATATTGGGATCTCTGCTAATGAAAGTGAGTCGTTATTATATTGGTTTGGGGACCACACCAATAATAATAATTACTTTAGACAGGGCTTAGGAAACCACTGGAGTTCCTGGGAATCTAACTCCTAGGGGGTAACGTGTAAACCAAGCACCCTGCTCACTATACTCTTCCCTGTGGCCCCCAATGGTGAAATTATAAATCACTAAATGCATGTTGTTAAATACACTTTCAATTTTTATTTAATACTGATTGTATTGTTGAACATCTAAAAATATTCAAGGTCTGTGAGAGATATTGTTCAAAGGGCTAATCATGGGTTTACATGAAAGGGGCACAGGTTTAATTCCTGGCATTGCATGGTCCCCCAAGCACCACAGGGAGCAATTCACCTTTCAGCACCCAGCACAGAATTGGAGTAGACCCCAAACACATCTAGGTGTGTCTTCTTTCCCAAATATTCATGAAATAAGATATATTACTGAAGAAGTTCAAAGCGATTCATTTCACTTATATTCCAGGAGAAAATTGGAGTCTGAGAAGAAATAAACCCTTGATGTTTGGAAGCAAAGAAGGTAGAAACTTGATTGTTTTCTTCATTATACCTGATGCTATCAAATTTCTTTCTAGAAAATCAAACAGAACTTTAAATTACATTAAGTTTCTCTTCACTTTGTTTTAGGGGAGAAAAGACAGCAAAATGACTCACCGTTCTCTTCCCCAAGACCAGATAATAATAGAAAATGTACATTTTTAAACAAAAATTATATAGATTTATAAAGTCAGCATTCATATTATAATTGATCTTTGAATTATATGTTTTAAATAATCACATTTTGTACATTAGCATAAGTCTATTCTTAAGGGTAAATAATTGTGAAGAGCAGACTGAAATAAAACAGACAGGTCATTGTGGAAAAAAAATGAATCATAGGTCTTGATATTTTATAAAATAAAATGGAACTATTCCTATCAGATAACAAAACCCAATAGAGAGTTATAATAATAGAGTATGTGATATTCACCAGGAATTGAAAAATATCTCAGTAGAATATAATAAAGAGCCCATAATCAAAAATTTATATATGGGAACTTCATAGATCAAATAGATTAAACTTCTGATAGAGGATGAAAAGGTGCTTATTTAATCAGTAGTGCTGGAATGGTTGGTTATCTACCTCGAGAAAAATAAAATGAGATCCTTATTTTATGCCACAAAGAAAAATAAATTTCTAGAAGATAAAAAACTAAAAATATAGGGGAAAATGTCAGAAGAAAATGTAGAGAAGTGTGGTTTTTGATGATAAGATGTCGAAAAAAATTTTAAAATAAATAATTACACACAATGAAAGGACAAGGCAGAAGAATATTGATGAATTTAGCTGATAATATCATGAATAATTTAAAAGCAAAAGTCACCAAAAATGTAAATATTCAAGACAAAGAAGGTTGTTTTCTTCCATTCTTTTATTTAAGTTGGGTTACAACAGAACAGAGCTGAGACAAAATTGTTGAGAACAGCTTTGGGGCTTTAACTCCTACACTTTGTCATTCATGTGTCAGAGCCAGCATGGACAGAGAGAGAGAGAGAGAGAAATACATGGCCTAGATCTTTTGAGTTTACAACAAAAAGTTATTTCCCAGAATTGTGAAGAACTTCTGCACCAATTAACATATTTAAGACAAACAGCATGCAATTAGTAAAACCACAAAAGTAATAGTGAATAAAGCATGAAAACACAAATATTAATAGGCATTCAACTTTAGTAGATGTTCAACTTTAGTAATATTTATGCCAATTAAATCCAACAAAATATTATTATACCCAAACAAGAACTTAAAATTAATATGCTTATTATTAAGTAGCTATTCATTTCTAGTAGGAGTGAAAATTCAAATAACTATATTAGAGAGCAATTTGAGAATATCTAGCAAAACTAAATCTCAAGCAATTTGATCCTCAAACTTTTCTTTCAACTATTCATCTTAGAGAAATATTAGCACAGGTGGATTATGAAACAAAACATAATCTATCACTATTTTGAGGTTCACAAAATGGTGAGAAATTTGTTTCCAGTAAGAAAGTCAATTATATATACAGTTTTTATATTATTTTTTTTCTACCAGCATAATTTTTTTTTATTGAAACACCATGAGGTACAGTTATAGACTTACAAAATTTTGTGCTTGGGTTTCGGTTATACAATGATCAAGTACCCATTCCTCCACCAGCACCCATCCTCCACCACCACGGGTTCAAGCATCCCTCCCACCCCCCATTCCCCCCCCATCCCACCCTGCCTCTGTGGCAGGGTATTCCCTTTTGTTCTCTATCTCTCCTTTTGGGTCCTGTGGTTTGCAAGAGAGGCATTGAGTTGATTATAAAATTAAAATTCATGAGTTGGTGCTGGACAGATCAGTCCAGAAATAATAAAACAAATTTTTAACAGTAAGAAGCATGCAGCGATTATTTACTTCTTTATAATATTTCATTTTTGTTTTGAGGCCATACCCAGTGCTGCTTAGGGGTTACTCCTGGCTTTGTGCTCAGACATCACTCCTGGTGGTGGGGACCATATGGGATGCTTGGGATCAAATGGCATGCAAGACAAGCACTTTACCCACACACTATCTTTCCAGCCTTACATTATTATACTTTTTAATTTTTAACACAAAAATATTTTCTCTAGTGATACAGTATTATGTGAGAAAAGTCTCCCTGAAAATGATATAGATAAGATTTGATATTGTGATTAGGTTTAAGTTAAAAGCCATGAGTATAGTATAAGAGTATCAACACAAGGGCATTTCAATCTTATTCATAGTGTTTTGATAAATTAGAGGGGTGGGGAATCCTGGAAGTACTCATGCTTACTCACAATTCCGCTAAGGAGTGGTGTTGAGAAATCAAATGAGATTTGCCTTTGAAATTTCCTCTTTATTTAAAAACTATTTGTTTAATAAAGTTTTGAAATTTTATGTTTTTGATATATGTTCTGCCAAAGAAAGCATTTAACTATAAGTCTTCTAGGGTTAAGTCTAATTTTCCTTCAGTTGAACTCATTTAGTCATTCTCTATATTTATACTTCCCTACTAATTGTACACTATCTGTAACTCATGCATACATTTTAATTGTATACAATATTCAACTATATTTTCTATTTTCTACTTTTATTTCTTATTATTTATATAAGACTGTTGATTCAGAGTGTAATTACTTTTCTTAATAAGTCTTTCTCTTTTAATCTAATTCTATATTTTATTATCTTATTCCTGTTCTCTTAGTGCCTTGAAATCATTTTCTCATTAAGTTCTTGATAATAAATAGTACCGTATGATTTCTTTCTTTTGTTGAATTTGCTTCCAGACTCATTTCCCCCCCAATATTTTATAAGCTAAAATTCTTGTTTTTGTATTTATTCTTCCTTTTCTTTTTTCCTCTTTTCCTTTGGTCTCTTTTCTTCAATCCTTCCTTCCTTCCTTCCTTCCTTCCTTCCTTCCTTCCTCCTTCCTTCCTTCCTTCCTTCCTCCTTCCCTTCCCTCCTTTCCTTCCTACCTTTCTTCCTTCCTACTTCCTTTTCTTCCTATATATGGTTTCTACATTGTTTATTTCATCAGATTTCTAATTCACTTAGACATTTGTTTTTTCCATGGTTTTCCCACATGTTGAGTGGATTCTTGAAATTTTGTGAATTGCGATTGGAAGAATTTATGCTCTGTGCTTTGTATAACTTCTTTTTTTTGTAATCTGGCATATTGGAAGAGAGTAGTGAGGGAGAAAGTTAGGCCCACATAAAGCCTTTGTGTAATAATTCATACTGCTTC